GAGGTCCCTGTGCTTTGCTTGGCTTAGCTTGTTCTAAGTAGGTGCTTTAGACCACTGAGCCATCTCACCAGCCCCTGTGGATCTTTTTCAAAGGAAAAAACCTCAAAATAAGTAAATCAATGCTCCAGGTCCCCAGGATTTTAGCAGAAACACAGCCAGGAGTCTGACAGCTGGCTGCCTGGAAAAGAGCTGGAAGAGGGGCCAGGAGCGAGTCCCTCACAGGAGCGAGGCGGAGCCAGCTCCCAGCAGTCCCTCCTCAGCCTGGCATGAGCAGGGTAGGGCCCAGTCTCTGCCTGAGCACCAGACATGAGTCCCACAGACAGTGGCACAGGGCCTGACGTAGGGGCCCTGCCCACGTGCTGGGCAGGCCTCAGCCTCCTCCCCCTCCTGCCTAGCACCAAACATACCCTCGAGGGGTCAGGCCCACCTCTGAGTCCACCGGGACGCACAGGCCAGATTGTTCATGCTCTATGGGCCGCTGCGGTGGTGACAGTGACAATGACACGGTGACACTGTGAAGGGAGGCTCTGGAAGGAACCTGCGGGAGGAACCAGAACGTTTCATGCCATTTGTTTAAAATGGGGGTTGGGCCAGCCAAATAGCTCAGCAGATTAAAATGCTGCAAACAGGCACAGGGGCCTGGGGTTTGATCCCCAGGCCTGCCTTGCCAGCCCTGCCCCCAGGGTATGCTGAGATGGCAACTAAGACTGGGCATGGTGGCGCACGCCTATAATCCCAGTTTTTGGGAGGCTGATCACTATGAGTCTGATCTAGTAGTGAGACTCTGAACACCCTGTAGACCCTTCCCTAAAATACAAAGAGAGAGAGAGAGAGAGAGAGAGAGAGAGAGAGAGACAGAGAGACAGAGAGAGACAGAGAGAGAGAGAGAGAGAGAGAGACTGGGTTTCCCTATGCCATCTGAGTTGGCTTTGAAATGGTGTGTAGCCCAGCTGGCCTCACGCTCCCAGCGATCCCCCTGCCTCAGCCTCCCGAATGCAGGGATGACAGGAGCACGGCAATCCCAGTCGTGCGCCATCACCCTGGCAGTTGTTATTTTAAAATCATCCTTTTAACCAAGTAGAGGTCACAATAGTCCAGAACCCCTCCTAGATGAGCAAGTGCATTTTTAGATATTTGGGACCTCCACAGGCTATACACCCTACAGGGACAGTAAGACACAGGGCCCAGGGGTGTGGCTGGGGTACCCGTGTACTCCTGAGAGGGCCACGGCCTGCCCCACCACAGCCTGCCGTTCGGAGCACCCTGGGAACCCAGGACACCAGCCCACATCTGCAGGGCGCGGCAAGCCCAGGGCTTATCAGTATCCCACAGGGCCCTTCTTGCAGCCACTGGCCCAGCGACCAGGGACTAGGGCAGGTCAGACGGGGGCGAGGGCCTGGGAAAGGAACACTGAAATGCACAGTTATAGGACAATCCTGGGGTTGGGGTCCCCAGTCCCAGGACTCCCCCCATCCGAGGCCAGCTTTGTTCCCTCGCGGCTGGCCTCGGTCCTCTGCTATTTTTGGCAAGGCATGGGTTTTCAGTGTTTCCAGTCTGCTGTCTCTCTGGCCAGACAGCTGGTAGGTGTGAGCTGGGTTACAATCCTGGTGAGAGTGACACAGCCACTCTTCTCTTTTTTATTTCTTGAAGATAAGGCCTGTACAGTTGGGCTGGGCTGCAGCTAACTCTCTTGCAGCGATCCTCCTGCCTCAGCCTCCTGAGCGCAGGGATCACAGGCGAGCACCCACTCTCAACACACAAGGGCAGTCCCACTCAACCCCCATGGCTTCCCACACTCCACGTACAGATGAAGAAAGAAGCGCATCTCGTGGTAGCTAGTGGCTTCGGCCAAGGCAGCTGGTAACCAGCTAGTGACCGCATCCGTCTGGCAGGGCCTCATCTAAAGTCTGGGCTTGAAGTGGGGCAGACATGGGGACCCACCCTGTCTTCCCAGCACTTGGGAGGCTGAGGCACGACTCCTCGGAGGGAGTCTGAGGTCAGCTTGGGCCGCACAGTAAGACCCTGTCTCGAAAAAGCTAAAAAATAAACAGGTGGACAAATAAACAAGCCAGACAACCAGGGAACGGCAAACGCCTTCAAAGGACCAGAAGGTAATGTGTGAGGCTTTCGGGCCACACCAGCTTCCATCGGCCTCTCCTCTCCTCGCAATCCTTTAGTGGACGCTCCTTGTTTGAGGCCTCACGACACAAGCCTGGCCCCCAGCTGGGGTTGGCCAGCACCATCCACGGCCCCACCCTACAGGGCCTGCTAGAAGCCAGCCTGGCATTGGCGTTTCCCATCCAGCTGCGCGCAAGTCACCAGGAGGTTCCATGAGGTGGAGCGCGCGATGGGCCAGCGTGGCCCCACGCGTGTTCTGAGTCACTAAGCGAGGGCACAAGCAAAGGCAGGACACCGGATTCCCTCGGCATCCCTGAAAATGCGAACCCCACTGTGACTGCAGAGAACACCAACAGGAAAGGGGGTGCACGACAGTGTACACAGGGGCGCTCCACGGCCTTTTCAAACGACCCATATTGAGTCTTCCTGAGTTATGGCAAAGGCTCGAGTGTGCAGAGCTGCGGCCTTGGGAAGGCGGCCAGATCTCGGGGCGCTCTCCCCATCAGTGTGTTCATCAGGGCTGAAGCGGCCCGGCTGGAGGGGGTCACTGGCAGCAGCACACTCTGAAAGGTCGCGTCAGTGCCCTGGCTCGCTCCTTCCTCCCCGCTCCCAGGTGAGCAGCGTCCTCCTGCACCAGGCCCTTCCGACACAGTACAAGGCCCCTGCCCTGGAGTAGGACCATGGACCGCTCTCCTGACAGTGAGCTAGGCAGCCTCCTCCTCCTCCTTAGGCTACAGGCATCAGGGACTTTGTTCCTCATAGGCAGGGGACTGGTGCAGAGGGCGGGACACCG